GCGCGCGAGCCCGCGAGCCGCCCGCCTGGAGGGGGCCCTCGCGCGGGCCCAGCCCGCGGCTACATATACTGCTGCCGGGCAACTTCTCTTCGCAGCACCCCCGACGCCCCTCTCCTTGGAAGACGCGGCGACCGACGGGCGTGGTAGCACTTTTCCAATATTGGGGTGCCCAGTTTCGTGTTACCTCCTAGAACCCACGGTACAAAGTAACAGTATAGCTGCCTTATTGTCCGCGAGCGCGCTCGGAGGTTCCGACGGACTGATCTTCGATCATCTTCGTTCGTTTGATCGTTGGGTGGCGGCCGTCACGCCTCGCGTCGGTCCTTTTTCCGTCGTCCTCCATCTCATGGAAACCCAGGGGCCCCGAAGGAAAGCGTCAGGGGACCCTACGGAAACCCAAGAGCCCAGGTGTCTCTACGACGTGGTCACCTCTCCTGCCTCTTCCTTCCTCCTGCGCCTTTTCTCCCGGTGCCTGCTTCCTTCCGCCCCCCCCTACCGTTCGTGCACCTTTTCCGCCTGCTCCTGCCCTGCCCCGTCCCCCCATCAACCACTTTACCCCCTCCGCGGTCCCTCGTCTCTCCTTCCTTCACCCTCGTTCTCCCTGCTCCCGTCTTCCTGCCCCCTTTTTCCCCTCTCCTTATTTTCCACATCCCTTGTTTCTCCTCCCTTCCCTCTCTTCGTTCCCCCGCGCCCCCTCGCCCCCCCCATTCCCCCCGTCCCCCCGCTACGCCACCCCATCCGCGTTCCCCCGTTTTTTTCCGCGCCATGCGCTCGCCTTCCTTCGCCCCCCCACATCCGCTCCCCGCCCTCCGCCCCCCTCGCCCTCCGAAGTCACAAGTTCTCCCTCGCCCTGCCCTTCTTCATCTCACTCGCCCTGCCTCCTCCCGCCCTCCCCGCCCCCCGCCGTTCGTCACCTTCGGGCCGCTTTTCCGCCCTCATTCATAATCCCTCATTCCCCCTCCCTCACCTCCCAACCTTCCCCTCGACCGCCAATCGCGTTCCCTCGCCCTCCACCTGCTCCCTCGGTCTCCACCGGCCCCACCACCTCCATCCTTCCGCCCCTTCCCCGCGGGGGGGCCCGCAAGCGCCCGGGGGGCGGCCGTCAATTTCTCCGACGATTTTTTGTAAAAAGGGATTCCTATGTAGATACAATTGGAGGAACAATTGGCGATGGAATCCGGCATTGTTTTTGGCAAAATGTTTGGCGGATTTTTTGGCGGGAAGTTTTTTCGAATCGCCCGGGCGCAGTTTTGGGGTGGCCCGACGGGTGGTTTTTGGATTGCCCCGGGGGGGCCCGACGGTGGCGCAAGCTACGCGGTGCAAGCTACGTGTTGCAAGCTACGTGGTGCAATATATGCGAGGAAAACCACGTGGTGCAAGCTATGTGGTGTTGTCTATGTGGCGCAGATTGTGCGGTGCAATCTATGCGTCCGAAGCGATGTGGTGCAGGCTACATTGCGTGAGTTTTGTGGCGCAAGCTATGTGGTGCAAGTTATGGGTTGCACGCGATGTGGCGCAAACCATGTGGATGCAAGCTGTGCGGGGTAACCTTTGTGGTGCAATCTATGTGGTGCGAGTTCTGTTGCGCAAGCTATGTGGCGCACGCTATGTGCTGAAAGCCGGGGCTGGCATTGTCAAGTAAACGCCCTGTCGGGACTGGAGCGGACGTTGTCAAGTAGGCGCCCTGTCGGGACCGGAGCGGGCGTTGTCAAGCAGGCGCCATGTCGGGACCAGAGCCGGCGTTGTCAAGTATGCGCCCTGTCGGTACCGGAGCGGGCGTTGTCAAGTATGCGCCCTGTCGGGGCCAGAGCGGGCGTTGTCAAGGAGGCGCCCTGTCGGGACCAGAGCGGGCGTTGTCAAGTAGGCGCCGTGTCGGGACCAGAGCGGGCGTCGTCAAGTATGCGCCCTGTCGGGAGCGGAGCGGGCGTTGTCAAGTAGGCGCCCTGTCGGGAGCGGAGCGGGCGTTGTCAAGTATGCGCTTTGTCGGGACCGGAGCGGGCGTTGTCGAGTACGCGCCCAGTCGGGGCCAGAGCGGGCGTTGTCTAGTAGGCGCCCTGTCGGGAGCGGAACGGGCGTTGTCAAGTATGGGCCCTGTCGGGACCGGAGCTGGCGTTGTCGAGTAGGCGTTTCGTCGGGACCACAGCGGGCGTTGTCAAGTAGGCGCCCAGTCGGGACTTGAGCCGGCGTTGTCAAATATGCGCCTTGTCGGTACCGGAGCGGGCGTTGTCAAGTATGCGCCCTGTTGGGGCCGGAGCGGGCGTTGTCAAATATGCGCCCAGTCGGAGCCGGAACGGGCGTTGTCAAGTAGGCGCCCTGTCGAGACCAGAGCGGGCGTTGTCAAGTATGCGCCCTGTCGGGAGCGCAGCGGGCGTTGTCGAGTAGGCGCCATGTCGGGACTGGAACGGGCGTTGTAAAGTAGGCGCCATGTCAGGACTGCGACCCCCCCGTTCCATGTTTCCTCCCTCCTTTCGTTCCTCCCACCTGCTTCCATTCACCTCCCTCGTCTTCCGCTTCCCCTTGCTCCCTCCCTCATTCTCCCCCGCTCCCTCCCTCGCCCCCCCTGTTTTGCCTTCGCTGTCCTTGTTCCCTCTCTTCCGCGTTTTCCCCTCCTTGCTCTCTGCACCCTTGAGTCCTTGCTCACTTCCTGCCACTGCCCCCCCCTCTATCGCCCGCTCTCCCTGTCGCCGAGCGACCCTCAGCCCGCCTATTTGCAATCTTGGTTCCAAGCCCTGCTCGCGCCTTCGCCAAGCCTCTGGGCAACGAGCCCAGCGCTGGTGCGGGTACTGCGGTGTGTGTTTGCGGGGCGCGCCCCGTCAGTGGTAGCGGGGCCTGGTGCGACGTTGCGTCACAAGCGGTTCTTCGACGACGCCCGAGATCGTCTGAATTTCGCCGTTCTGCCAATATTGCTCGTGTTCCCCCCCCTCGGTTGTGGAGCGATTCGTTCAGCCGCGCTCTTTCGCACGCGCGCGCGCCTCGCCAGCGCCGCGCCCTTGCGTCGGCGGCCCGGCGTGCGCGGGCTTTCCGCGCTGCCGCGCGCGTGCTACAGTGTTGGATGGAATGGTGTAGCACGCGTGGAGTTGTTTTTTTTCGCGATGCCACCGCCACTGCAAACGTCCCGGGGCCAGCTTCTGCGCGTTTGTTTTTCGTTTCGGTCAAACGGCGGCGCCGCGGATTCTTGACGAGTTTCATTTGCGCGAATCTGCGCAGAGCGGCCTTCGCGCAAAGGGCACCGCGCTGTTGGTCAAAGAGTCGGGCGACCGTTCGAACGACGAACAAATAGGATGAACGTGTTCTGCGTGCTGGTCAGAGGTAATTTTCGTCCGTTTTGCGGCCACGTTCGGCGGGGTCATTGTCCCAGGGGCCAATGCCGCGCGCCCGGTAGCGCCCGCAGCGCTCAGTAACGCCCGAGAGCGCCTGGGAAACCGGGGGTTTGGGCCCTGAGAACTTCAAATGCTGTCGACCTCCCAGGTTTGCATGAGCCTTGGGGCCCTGGGGCACACGCGCATATCGTTATACGTATATCAGTGAACGCGTGTGTATATAGTATATATAAATGTACATATATGTACGTATGGATGCACGCATGCGTGCAACTCTGTATGTATGTGTGCATGTATGCATGTATGCATGTATGTATGTGTGCATGCGTGGATGGACATGTGTGTGTGGGGGTTCGCGTGCGCGGACAGGAAATCATGAATTCTTGCATCCTGGGTGTGCGTGTGTGAATTATGCGTTGTACGCTATGAGGTGGAAGCTACGGGCGCTGCAAGCAGCGTGGTGCAATTCGACGACGTCGGCATGTGAGAGGTAGTTTTGCCTCTCCCCAAACCCTTCCCCTGGGAGTCCAGTCTGGGCGATTCGGAGGGGGGCGGTCTGGCCAGAGGGGCCGCCGCACTCATCTTGCCCTGCGCAGCTCCCCGACGGCCATAACACGGGCCAGCCGGGGCGCAGGACTGCTCCAGATGGCCGACGCTCGCCTTAAGTCGGGCCTGCGCCTCTACAGGAGGAATATTCAAAAATAGTAGAAACAATAATCAGGGGACGATTTTTGGCTATTTGGAATGTGTTTGGGGTATTTTTTTGACTATTCTAATTTTTCGCCCGAATTCCGCTTGTAGGGGGACAGGCCCGAACTAGCATTAGCCCCCAATTTCGCGCCGACGGCCCCAGATGGCCTCAAACTAGCCCAAGAGGCCCCCAAACCATCCCAAGAGGGTTTCAAGAGGACCGCCAAGAGGATCCCAACAGGCAACAGTCGTCCCAATCCTTCCTCCAGCGCTGCACCTTGCGCTTTCCGCGTGACATGGAGGGGCTCCAGTGCCGATGCGGACCTTCGAAACATAGTTTTTTCGAAGGATCGGCTCAAGGGGGGACGCATCGGCATGAAATCGCCCATGCATTGCCGATACCCCTCCCCCCGTCCAGGAACGTTCGGTTTCGCTCTCGGGGGCCTGTCGCCGATCTATCGGCGATGTATCGCCGACTCTAGCTCGCCTCCCTTCCTGAGACGGGTCCCGATCGACACCCCTTCCCAGAAGCGTGCGTTTCGCCTCGGATTATTCGGGCGGGTGGTATGCGGGGGTGGAGGCTGCTTCTTAGAGGGCGCTGGCCTCACATCTACAGAGGGGACACCCGCACCTTCTAATAGGAGCATGGGCTGCTTCTACGAAGCCTTCACTCTCCTGTCCCCCTCTGTGCGTGGCCGAAATATGTGTATATGTCCCCGAGATCTGTGGCTCATCGTTGCCCCCCGATCGATGCCCCCCATCGTTGCCTTCGATCGGTGCACCCCGTCGTTGCCCCCATTGTTGCCCCCGATCGTTACCCCACATCTTGATCCCCCTTCGTTGCCCCCCATCGGTGACCCCCTATGGGTGCCCTCAGAAGCTGTGCGGGGCCCTCTGCCGCAAGGGTGTCGTTGTCAGGCCGCTGGGCGTCTGGGCTGGCACGTGCGAACGGAGATTCCTCCCTCTTTGTTCCTCCCTGCACGCCGCCAGTCGCCGGGCCGAGCTCCTCAAGATGGTGGCGTTCGGCCAGACGACGTGCCCGCGGCCCGCCGGCACAGCCGAGAAGTTGTCGGATTCGCACGGTGAATTTGCAGTCAAAATTCACAGTAAGGACGCACTGATCACTTCAGGGTACCCTTGAGTCCCTGCCTCTGCGGCGCGTCCTTCGCGATTCTCACTGGCCAACCCTTCAGGGTGTTGGCAGTCCGCCGCCCAAAAGGTACGAACTGTGGCGTCGAAGGCCCTTGTTTGTGTCCTTACCCCCCGTTCGTTCTGTAGATTTCCACCGTGCAGTCGAGTCTTTTCAGTGGTCCACCCCTTGCGCAAAAGCAAGGGCGCCTCTATTTCAGCAACTGCAGGTGCGGTAAGAGTGTGGGTGGGGGTGGGCGGGCGGGGGCGTCGCGGGCGTGTCGCGGGGTGGATCGCGGGCAGGACGACGACAACAGAGGAGGGCAACACACAGGAGCTTTCGCCGCGTTGCCCCGCTTCGGCCGCGCGTCCAGGGACGGTGTAACACCCCTCGGCCGCTCCCTCTGACCTCTTGCATTTTTTCATGAGCCTACTCTGCTTCCAAGCCGTCGCGGAGGCCTTGAGCTCTAGCTCCTCCCACCTGCTCCCTCCGCCCTCCCCTGCTCCTCCCTCCCCCCCCCCTCCTTCCTCGTTCTGCCCTGCCGCCCGCCCTCCCTCCTCTCTCAGGCCCCTCGCGGACCCACGGCGCCGTGCCTTCTGTCGCAGCGTGGCACCCCGGTGAGGCCTGAACGAAAGGTGGGAAGAGGAGGAGCAGGAGGAGCAGGAGCAGGAGGAGGACCAGTGCGAACCCGAGATGCACATTGGAAGACAAACGTTTCAGAATCCGCAGCCGTACCAAAATATTTGACTATTGCGTACTGGCGATCCTAAATCGTACCAGAATTCCATTCCTGCGACTTGTACGCCGCGAATTAAGATGACTGCTTCGTCCAGACGATCCCGCATCGCGCAAGAATACCATTCCTGGGATTAGTTGTTACATTGCGAATCAGTGTGACCTTTGCGTATGCACAACCCTAAACAATTCCCAGAACACCACTCTCGGGACTTGAACCATGCAAGTCCGCGAAATTGCTGGAAACTTTTAAAACGAATGTGCGCGGCACTGTGGCGAGAGCCACACTTCGAAAACGAGCCGCCCTCCATCCTTGAATGTTCCGCAAACCTTTCGGACGGGTGTGCCTGGCACTGAGGCGATGGCCGCATGTTGAAAGCGTACCGCCCTCCATCCGGGAAAAGGTTGCACACTTCAAGCTTCAGGATCATGAATGGTGAGGAAGTTGAAGGCGAAACGTCTGGCCCGCCCTGCTGACACGTCTGGGTGCTAAACAGGGAAGGGGACGTATGAGGAAATCAGAATGAAGAAAGAGGAGGAAGAGGAGGACGAGGAAGAGGAGGAGGAGCAGGAGCAGGAGCAGGAGCAGGAGCAGGATCCGGAGGAGCCGCAGGAGCCGGAGGAGCAGGAGGAGCAGGAGGAGCAGGAGGAGGAGGAGGAGGAGGAGGAGGAGGAGTGAGAGCAGGAGACGGAACAGGTCCAACGGATCCATCTCCTCTTGGAAGAAGGGCAGGGAAGGAGGGAGGGAGGAGAAGGAGGAGGAGATACGGGGAGGAGGAAGAGGATGAAGAAGAGAAGGAATGGGAAGGAGGCGAGAAAGAAGGAGGAGGAGAAGGAGGAGGAGGAGGAGGAAAAGAGGATGAGGAGGAGTGAGAGCATGAGACGGGAGGAGGGGAGGAGCAGGAGCAGGAGCAGGAGCAGGAGGAGGAGGAGGGGGAGGAGGAGGAAGCAGGAGGTGGAGGATCAAGAGCAGGAGCAGGGGGGAGGGAGGTAGGGAGGGAGGGGGGAGGAGGACGAGTGAGGAGGAGGAGGAGGAGGAGGAGGAGAAGGAGGAGGAGGCGGAGGAGGAGGAGAAGGAGGAGGACGGAGGAGGAGAAGGAGGATATGTAGGAGGAGGAGGAGGAGGAGGGACAGGCTTCTCATTTCTGCTTCGCTGGTTGGACGGTCCTCCCTGGCCCGGTTCCACCCCCTGTCCGCGGTTCTCCCGTCCGCATGGGGCCTGGGCCAGCGGGCCCCCCTGTGCCACCGCTGGCGCCAGTTCTTGTTGGGATGGTTGGCGGAAGCTGTGCAGTGGCGGCCGGGCTAAGAATCTCGCAGGAGGACACGCTGCATACAGTGGGGACCCATGCTAAGGAACACCTTGCTTGCCTCCAGGGTGCACTGGGTTTCTTGGGTTTCGATGGCTTTTTTCTTTTGCGGGAAGCGTGACGTTCCCACGCCAACAGTAAGTGGACGTCCTGGGGTCTCAGGGTTGGGTTTCTTGTGGGAGATTTCTTGTGGATTGGCTTCCTTTGTAACAGTACATAGGGAGGTCCGCGCGAAGTTCGCGGATCGGCGCCAGGACCCCACTGGCGGCGCCTCCAGCGCCGCCCGTGGCGCGCTGCGCCCGCCAGGGAGGCCCCAGCGCCGATCCAAGACGTCCGCGCGGAGGTCCGAAAGTTTCTGCTTCTGGGAATCCTCGCAGGGGGCGCTAACCCCCAGGCAGGCTCCACCGGACGGTCTCCGCCCGCGCCGCCCGCTGGAATTCCTTCCCCCTTCGATCTCCTCCCCGAGCCCCGACCCTGGCCCGAGCCTCCCCGAGGCTCGACTCCGAGCCGCGGTGCTCCCCGAACCTCGGCGGAGAGCTTGGATTCCTCCTCGCACCTCGCCCCCGAGCCTCGATCCTTCCCGAGCCCGAGCCTTGCCCCCGAGCCCCGATCCTCCCCCCATCCCTCCCCGCCCTCCGTTTGGAGGGGGTGCCTTCCGTCTGGGGCAGAGGGCATCACGGGCTCGGCTCCTGGTTGCCTTTCCCCTTCCCCCGATTTCTCGTTTGCACGCTGTGCTGGACCAAAACGTATCCAAACTGGAGGAACAACACATCACATTGAAGCATGAGCGTTCGGAGGCCTGGGGGTCCAGCGCCGATCCGAGAAATCCGCGCGGAGTTCCGAAAGTTGCGTTCGTGTGATTGGCTGTTCCCCAAAAAATGTCCCTCTCCCCGTGCGGCAGAGCGCCCCGATCCTCCCCGAGCCTCGGCCCGAGCCCCGATCTTCCCCCCTTCTCGCCATGCGTTCGGAGGGGGTGCCCTCCTGCTGGGGCTGAGGGCACCACGGGCTCGGCCTTGGGTTGCCTTTCCCCTTCCCCTGATTTCTCCTTGGCACGCTGTGTGTTGGCTAAAGCGTCTCCCTACTCGAGGAAGCTTTCGGAGGTCCGCGCTGTTTTTGTCGGCCTTTCCCCTCCCCCGTTTGCTTCTCTGCACGTCCCAGAACGTCCCAAAACGTTTCCGCGTGGCTGCTGGGCCACGGCGTCCCAAACCGCTATTTAGATGTGTGAAGCGAGTCATCCGGGAGACGGGCCCCATGAGGTCTTTCGCCCTTCTCGAGCTCTCGGGGCCCTCCACGCGCCCCGGGACTGTCAGAGAAACGACTCAGGATGAAGAGTTGTCCTGGGGGAGGCCCCAGGGTCCAGGAACCGTCTGCCGCAGGACCCGTTCCGAGATATCCTCCGATCTGATTTTTTCCATTCGCGGCCCCAGAGGTCCCGACCCGTTCCCCAGGGGTGCTTTTTCGCTTGGCTTCAGTTCTGAAGGCCCCTGGGCCCGACAGCGGACCCCGGCGGCCGACACCGGGGAAACCTGATCGGACAAGAACGGGAAGCGCCGCTGTAATCAAATGGGAGTATTGGGCGAAGAAGAAAAGGAAGGCGAGGACAACGAGGAGTCGATGACGAGGACGACGTGGCGAACGTGAGGATAGCGAGGAGGAGCATGAGGACAACGAGGAGGAAGAGAAGCACAAGGACGAGGACGAAGAGAACGAGGGCTAGTACGAGGAGGAATGCGGAGGGCGATGATGACGACGATGACGACGACAGAGGACAGTACGAGGCAATTGGAGACAGACTTTGCTCCTGGCGCCGCGCGGGGTTCTCTTGGGGCCTGTTGGGGGCTTCTTGGGGGCCCCTTGGGTCCTCTTATGGGCTTCGACACCGGGGCACTCCGCCGGACTGCCGCACTCCTGCCCTCGGACCTCGGGCCGTCCCCCGTGCCGGCCCACGGCGCCCCGCCGCCCCCCGTCCTGGCAGAGCGCGCGGGCCCCCCGGGGCAGCGGCTCGTCACCGCTGCGGCCCTCCGCCCTGCCCCCACGCCGCCCGCCGCCCTCTTCGCCCGGCCGCAGGTACGTCCGGCGCGGCGGCACGGCCGCCCCGGCGCGGCCGCCGTCGGGCGCGCGCCCCGCCCGCCCCCGCGACGACGACGACGACAACGGCGACGACGGCGACGACGACGACGGCGACGACGACGACGACGACGACGACGACGACGACGACGACGACGACGACGACGACGGCGACGACGACGACGACGACGACGGGGGGGGGTGCGGGGGCCGCCTCCTCGTCCTCCGTGCGCCATGGGGGCAAGGGGTCCCGAGGGCAACGGGCCCCCTCAGGCTTTTCGCCGCTTTCGGGCTCTCGGGGCCCTCCACGGGCCCCTGGGCCGTCAGAACAAAAAACTGAGGATGAAGAGCTCGACCTGGGGGAAAGCCTCGGGGTCCAGAATTCGTTTCCTTCCAGACCAGGTTCGCCCATACCAATTCGGAGGAGCAAGAGGTCACCATAATGATAATTACATTCCAAGGTTTCCATGGTTTCCCCGACGTCCTGATGTCCCATCGGAGCTGCAGAGACGAGGGCCGCTAGGTATTTCGGAAATACTGAAGTGTATCCTGAGCCAATATTATCATGACACTGCTATTATTGCCCTATTCTGGGCCTCCCTGGTGGGGTCCGAGCAGACGGGGTATGAGGACCGCTTCGAATCTCGAAGGACAAATAATTGCATAAACACCAGCTTTCGGACCTCCGCGCAGATTTCTTGGCTCGGCGTTTGGTCCCTCTGGCGGCGCCTCTGGCGCTGCCCCATGCGCGCTCCGCGCGCAAAAGCGGCAGCTTTAGCGCAGATCCAAGAATGCCGCGCAGAGATCTGAACGTTTCTGTGTATGGTAGATGTCTCTACCTCCATTCTAGGCCTCCCAAATGGAGACCAAGTAGATGGGGTCGGAGAATCGCTCCGCATGGTCGATGCATTGGCGATGCGGTTCGATGTGGAGCCCGATGTTCTCCAGGCCGACGCCGCCGATGCACCGCCGACGTCGCAAATGCATCCCCGATGCTTCCGCGATGCATCGCTAATACGGCGCGATCCCCCGACCCCATCCAGTTACTCGTCCTTCATTTGAGGGGACATCTGACCATCCCTCAGGGGAAACGTTGGGGGGGGACGCATGGGCCCCCAATCGCCCACTGATCGCCGATAGCTTGGCACCCCACCCCGCTCGGGTTGGCCAGCAGAGTCGCCACTGGGAGCCTATCCGCGATGTATCGCCGTTTCCAGGTCGACTTGTCCCCCTCTGAGGGCGGTCCCCCCTGACATTCCCCCTCACGGACGCTCCTCATCCTCCCTCCGCCTCCTCCTCCACCTCCTCCTCCATCTTATCAGGAGGGGAAGACACACAGACACAACCAATCGTCGACTCCCTGGAAAGTATGGAAAATATGGGAAGTGGGGGGAAGACAAAAACGCAGAAAATATGGGGAAATGTGGAATGTGTATCAGTGTGTATTTATTTGTGTGTCCTTGGGCCCCTTTCATCTCATTGCAATCATAGGCAGCAAACTCAAGCACGCACTATGGGGTTCGTGCGTTCGTTCCTCCTCCTCCCTCTCCCGCCTCCTCCTGTCACGAAGCCTCGAATGGGGGGGGGGGGCCAGCCCCCTCACGTCGTGCAGAGCACATCACGACAGGAGGTGCTCTGGACGTCTGCGGCCTCCCGGGGGCCCTCGCCGGGCCCATGGGACTGTCAACAAAAGAACTCGGAGTGAAACACTGGTCACGGTGAAAGGGTCCAGATCTCTTGGGGTCACATCGTGAATTCACAACGTCGAGGGGTACCGACGCCGTGACGCCGACGTCGAGCGGCCACATTGTGTTGGGTCTTGGGTCGTTCTCCCAGCACGTCTCGGGCGACCGGGGCCTCGGAGGTCCCAGGACCAGTCGGTGACGGACCGCCCAATGAGGTCTCTCGGGATTTCGAGGTCATTGCACGGTCTGCCACCGCACTGTTTCGGGGCAGGGGGAGGACGTTCCTGACGTTCCTTTCACACTCGCTGCTTCTCTTGGCGCGTGCTACAAGCTTTAGCTACTATCTACGACCCCGCCTAGCTTGGGCCAAGACTGGCGAAGTATTCGAACCCGCAAGGACGAGCGACTAATACGTTGTCAGCGCAGTTTGGAGTGGCCAAACCTGACTTCAGCAAAAACGAGTTGAAGTCGGATTGCGCTTGAAGGGAGGGGGAGAAGGAGGAGGACTAGGAGGAAGAGAAGGAGGAGGAAGAGGATGTGCTTGAGGAGGAGGAAGAGGTTCCTCGGGTCCTCGGGACGCCTGCCCATCTGCTATTGCGGTGGCGATTTGGTTCGGCCACCCTCGCGTCGCACGTCTTCGCGGTGAGCATCGCCAGCGGATTGTCGATGAGCCAGTATAGTGTTATTTCGATGTGTGTGTGTGCGTGTGTGTAAACAGCCCCTTCATGGACACGAGCTCCTTCCTCTCTCACCACATGAAGAGGATGACTGGATGAGGGGAACTAGACCTCCCCTGTGATCGCGGCGTCGTTTTCTCCACACCTGGCGTTCTCGAGCAGTTTTAGGGCCCCCTGGGGGCCCTCGCGGACCGACGCAACTCGAGCAATACCGCTGCGACGATGTTGCAAGTGTTTCGCGACGTCAGATCCCAGGGTCCTCGCGACATGAAAAATCACGACGAGATGTTCTTGGACGCTCTCGCCCTCTTGGGGAGATCGCCGGGCCCTCCAAGGAAGGCCCAGGATGAGAAGCTGGCCCCGGGGAGAGGCTCTGGACGTTCTGGGGACTCCGCATAACAACAGACACATAAGAAAGCAGCGCATCGGACCGTTTGGTAGCGGGCGAAGAGCGGTGCATGACAAATTTGTCCGTCAGCGGGGACGTTTGCCCCATGGCGGCTCGAGAGTTTATGCTCCTGCGGTGGCACGTCGGGATGTAGACTATCCAGCCGCCCTGGGACGGGAGCCCCCCCGATGGCAAAACACGTGTCTTAAATACCGCGAAGGAATCACATCAGAAACATGTCATATACGTAGACTGTCGCAGGTCCGGGGGGGCATCTGGTGTTGGCGCTGGATCCCCTGGCGGCGCCACAGGCGCCGTCCCTGGCGCGCTCCGCGCTCCGGGGGGGCGGGGGGGGAAGGGTCCAGCGCCAACCCGAGAAGTTCGCGTGGGCCTCCGAAATGTATGTCAATGTCGTTTGTTGCTCTTCCGTGAAAACGAAAGAGGAGGAGCAGGAACAAGAGCAGGAGCAACGGGGGAGGAGCAGCAGGAGGGAGGAGGAGGAGACGAAGGGAGGTGGGGGGAGGAGAAGGCAGGTGGGGGGAGGAGGGAGGCGGAGGAGGAGGAGGAGGAGGAGGAGGAGGAGGAGGAGGTGGAGCAGGAGCGAGCAGGAGCAGGAGCTGGAGCTGGAGCTGGAGCTGGAGCATGAGGGAGAGAGGTAGGAAGGGAGGCAGGGGGGGCGGGAGGAGAGGAGGAGGAGGAGGAGGAGGAGGAGGGGAGGAGGGGAGATGGAGGAGGATGAGGAGGTGGAGGAGGAGGAGCAGGAGGAGGATGAGGAGGAGGAGCAGGAGGAGGAGGAGGGAGAGCAGGACCAGGAGCAGGACCAGGATCAGGAGCAGAAGAAGCAGGAGCAGGAGCAGGAGCAGGAGCAGGAGCAGGAGCAGGAGCAGGATCAGGAGCAGGTGGGAGGGAGGCAGGTCGGGAGGGAGGGGGGGGAGGGAGATTCGGCCTCTTTACAACCGAGATAGGTCACTTCACAACCAGCAAAGGACCGAATGGTATTGTCTGCCTTCGAGAACGACCAGTTTACAACCATAACGGCCCACTTTGCAACCAGAACGGTCCACTTCACAGCCCAGATGGGGCTCTTTGCAATCAGAACGGCCATTTTACAAGCAGCCTTCAGACGCGCAAGAGCGCTCTGCCGAGGCTTCTGATGCTTCAGAGCACCTGAGCGCTCTGCAGAAGCTTCTGCGCGCCTGAGCGCTCTGCAGGACACCCGTAGGCCCCATAGCGAGGAATCTTGTTGGATTAATGGGGTTCATCTGGTGCCATTGGGATTTCAGTGTGGAGGGTACCAATCGGATTCCAATCAGATTATTGTTGGATCCCATTCAGAACCCGCCACTTCACGGATTCATGCTTCAGACGAGTCTTTTTACAAGCAGCACGTGTCAGAGAGCGAAGCGCCTCCACTACGAGGGCCCGCGGGGATTTCGGACAGTGCAGGACATGTGTCGCTTAGATGCGTTGAGTTGCCTGGTTGTAAAGTCGCCTTCATGGTTGCAAAGTGCCCTTTTATGAGAAAACCAATGCTGCTCGTACAGTGCCCCACCTGGTTGTACAGAGGGCGCTCTGGTTGCGAGGTGACCCGCACGCGGGGGGGAGGAGGAGGAGGAGGAGGAGGAGGAGGAGGAGGAGGAGGAGGAGGAGGAGGAGGAGGAGGAGGAGGAGGAGGATGAGAACGAGGAGAGAGGAGAACGAGGAGAACGAGGAGGACGATATGGAGAAGGAGGAGAGTGAGGAGAAGGAGGAGGAGATGGATGAGAAAGAGGAGGTGGAGGAGGAGGAGGACGAGGAGGAGGGAGAGGATGATGATGATGATGATGATGATGATGATGATGATGATGATGATGATGATGATGATGATGATGATGATGATGATGATGATGATGATGATGATGATGATGATGATGATGATGATGATGATGATGATGATGATGATGATGATGATGATGATGATGATGATGATGATGATGATGATGATGATGTGATGATGATGATGCTGATGATGCTGATGATGATGATGTGATGATGCTGATGATGCTGATGCTGATGCTGATGCTGATGCTGATGATGCTCATGATGCTGATGATGATGATGAGATGATGATGATGATGATGATGATGATGATGATGATGATGATGATGATGATGATGATGATGATGATGATGAGATGCTGACGATGATGATGGTGGTGGTGGTGGCGGTGGTGGTGAGGAGGAGAGGAGGAGGAGGAGGAGGAGGAGGAGGAGGAGGAGGAGGATGAGGAGGAGGAGGAGGAGGAGGAGGAGGAGGAT